CGCAGCTCAACGCCGCGGGGTCCGGAAGCCCAGCCTCACCCAGCCACGCTGGCCACCCTCCCACCTTGCTGGGGAACTGCGCGCTGCCCAGGCGCCAGCCCGGCGCCGCCTCCACGAAGCCCAGTTCCACGCGCGCGCCCATTGCCACGCGCGCTCTGCTTCCGGCCCGCGCCGGAAGTGCGGCGGCGGCGCCTATGCGTCATAGTGCGCCCGGCCTCCCCTCAGGCCGGAGCTGCGCCCTTGCTAAGTACATCCGGGTTCTCAGAGCGGAAGTGCACCCGACCCTCCGCCGCGAGTGCGCCGTGACCAAGCACCCGCGGCCTGGCTTCCCCCCACACCGGGAGTGAAGTGGGAGGGAGCGCCTCCTGTCCGGTACGCGCTGTGCTGGAGCCAGGTTCCGCGCGTGGGGCCGCCCCTGGCCCGGACTGCGCGTTCCGCCTCTCCTGCTGCACGTGACACGTACCGTGTCCTAAATGCAGACCGGCCACTTGTGCCAAGTGATTCGCACACTCAGTCGGACTCCAGCTGCACCGTGTTTGTGCTTGGCAATGTTTAAAGCCTGGAGCTGCTTTGTATCCAACTTTAATTTGAATGTGTAGCAGGGCACCTGGCCGCCCACACTGGGGCACAGGAACAGAGCACATGACCCCTGGCAGCCAGTCACCTTGCCCGTTGCTTCCAGCCCGGGAAAGCAAGAGAGAGAGCAAAAACTAGAGCATTTGCTCTCATTTTAAAAACCTGCCTGGACACAAGGATAGGACCAAAAAAAAGAGGCCATGTCCGAGAAAACCCAGACACCTGGTAACCCTAACACACACCCGCACACACACTCACCAGTTCAAGCAGCCTCACTGATGAAACATGCAGCTAAAGCCTCATTCAGCAACAGAAGTGCAAATCACTTCACACTGCAAGGCCTGGCCAAACAGGTGCTGCTTGCATGTGAAGGACCCCCAGCATGGCTTTGCCTCCCTTGCCAATGCTGAGGCAGCTCTTGTGCAGCAAGCAGGGGTGACTGACATGCTGGGTTCCCTCTTGATGCCAACTAGCAAACAGAAATCAAGCAATAGGACAGATGCAGCCTCTTGCCAGGGGTGTGGGACACCTGTTGTGAAAGAGGAGCAGAACAACCATCTCAGACACACAACAGCCTGCAACCTGCTTTTCTAAACTGTCCTTTTTAATGTTAAATCTTTAGATCCCTGTTACAGTTACGTACTGACGAAATACTTTGAAACCAACCATGTCATTGTAAGCTTAGGAAAGTACTTAAGTAGATGTGACTGTATTTTTTCTTTAAATATATAATCCAAAATATGTAAGGTTTAATTTATTATTATTATTATTTTTTAATAAAAAGGTACAAATGTCATTCTAAACATCAGTGCTGACAAAGTTCCTAACTGGTGATGAAAGTATTCCACCTGGAGAACATCCATTCCCCTCCCCCTTTTGCATACTCAGAATTCCCAAAATGGAAAGGACCAGATGTGTGCTCCTGTGGCATCCTACCCATTTTCCATTTCAGGACTGTTCAATGTTTTTTGCAGCTTATTCTGTCCACAGTCACCATGTAAAACCATTTAATATTAAAGTCTTGCAGTCACAGGTTTTATCACAGGTATCCTGGAATCTAGGGATGAAAAAAAATAGTAGTAAACTGTATATATGGACAGCTAGAATATTAAAAGCATCATTCCGTAAAACTCCTTATTCTCCATAATGCTTTTTATTCAAAACTAGGTAACAGCAAAAAAAGGTTTAAAAAAAGACAAGATGTGGTCATTTATGCAAGCAAAAACATGTAACTGGCTTACTTCCACTCAGAGCTCATGAACACTTTTATTGCATCTACCATAATGAATTACCAGAAGTGATGTGTGATTTTTCTTAGGAGTTAACTATGATTTTCTCTCCCAAGTACCCTATTTACCCACATTCAAGATAACTTTGAATTTAAGATGACCCCCCAATAATTAGATTCTATACACGGAAAATTTATAAATTTGGTATAATTCTCTCTCAAATTTGCCATACATTTTTCCCCAGAAAGCAGCAGTGGGGGTGAAAGGGACGAGACCCAAGAGGCAGGGGACTTGCCCCTTTCCTGACCCTCTCGCGCCTTGCCCCTCCCCCAGTACCTGTGTCTGCCAAGTGCCTGCCCCCCCCCCACCATCTCCCGGTTAAATTCTTCTGCTGCAAAGAACCCAGAAAGACCCAGCGGGGTCAGAATGTGTTTGACCCTGTGGATTCCTCATTGAAATCTCTGTGTTTATCTGCAAGTTGTAAAGCATGTATAAGTGCTTGTATGATGTAGCACCCTGACTGAGAATCACTATGTTAGTCTTATAGCAGTAAAAGACCATGCTTACCTAACATGTCAGCTGTTTTATTGAGGGCATCTTTCTTTACAGCGTATGTCACACCATTGGTCCTAGATCAGAAAAAAAACCAAACAAAAACAGCAAGACTGTTACTCTTTTGGAATTGAATCATTAATAATTGTCATTATTCAAATTATCTATAAAATCAAATTTTAACTCCTTTTTCCCTTAATTGCATCAATATTATCTATGTCCTGAGCTCCAGAAGGCCTACTGATGATGCGCCATGGATATTTTAAACAAATACTACTGAAGGATAGTTTAAATTGTAGAACATTTCCCCGCTTCTTGTGTGTCTCTCTTCCCAATGCTTACTAGCAAGGCAGACTGCTAAAAAAATTAACTGAAACAGTTCCTTGGCAAATGTAACTCACTACAAGCTCTAATAAGTTGCAAGAATTTACACCAGGGATGTCCAACTCACCCCAGGCACTGGGCTGGATCTATGGGGCTACATTCAGGCAGCATGGAGCCAGGGGTCTGCATCAGTGAAGAGCCAGGGCTGTGAGGAAGCACAGGGCTGAGGCAGGGCAGTGGGATGGAGGTGTAGGCATGCTGCTCCATGGAACTATGTTCAGGAAGCAGCACAGAGCTGGACCCAGGTGCGTGCAGCAGCAAGAACAAGGAAATTGTCACAACCCAAAGGTTTTTGTTTTTGTGTGCTTTGGCACTGCTAAATTGTTCCCGCTAAATTGCAGCTTCTTTGCACGGTGGAGTTTTCTGCTGCAGAAGAGAACCCCGGTGCAAAAGAATTCCCGCCACCAGTAGCTTTCTTTGCAGGGTGCATTTCTTTGTTGCAGCATGGAAATGCACGTTGCAAGGAGTTCCCGCCATTTGTATTTAAATTTGTGCCCCACTATTGGCTGTTTCTAAATTATTCACACGTGGCGGCTAGTGATTGGCTTGCTAGCCGTATAAAAAGCTTGAGTGGTTTCCGCCCAAGTTGAAGGACTCCACGAACACCAGGAAGAGGAGACTTCATGCTGCGTGAAGATCTCTAAGCGCTGTGGAGCCTATCGGACCCAGCGCATTTCAAGCAGGCAACAGGGGTCTGATCAGCCTCTGGCCTCTCCCCGTCGCCGATAGATTCCTAGACGTATCCCTCCCTGCGCGCAAAAGAACCAGACCCACGGAGCCTAGCAAACTTCGTGTGAGTTCAGCTGGAACAACTGACATAGTTGTTCAGACGACCGGACTACCTCAGAGCACAAGTTCCACGAATCCTAGCAAACTTCGTGTGAGTCTATTCAGAGCTCTTCTGTACGAGTACTTTCTTTGGTTGACACGACGGGCTCGCATGTTTAGAACCTTCAGCCGGATTGGGCTAGAGTTCGCGAGTTTAGAACTCTTGTCCGCCTCTCTTCTTTCCTGTCTGTAACTGCAACTGAAGCAAGTTTTCCTGCCTGCACCGCGACCATCTTCGGTGTAAGTAAAATAATCTTTAAATCAACCACTATGCCTCCGTGACTAATTCTAGCCCGTGCGTTCCTTACCGCCCCGCGGTCCCTTCTGACCCCGCGTGCCCGGGCTGCTGGCCACAGCCCGCGTGCGCAAAGACGGGTCCGCATATTGCTCCCGGCTTGCACATGGCGACATGGACGGGATCAGGAGGCGGCCCGCACAGAAATGACTATGGATGGCAGCCCCCTGGCTCCATGCCACTGTCCAGCCATAGCTCCATGCTGACACGTCTCCAGATCCATAATGCCTGAACACAGCCCCATGCAGTCACGTGCCCTGTGCCACTGCCTGGCGGTCCAGAACTCTGACTGGTCAGCAGTGCCATGGCAGGCAGCAGTGTGAAGGCAGGTACATGGCAGGCAGCAGTGTGAAGCCAGGCACATGCACTTCCACTATCCCACCAGACTGCAGGTGGGCCAGATGCAACAGTTCCTCAGACTGGATGTTTGACACCCCTGGTTTAAACTAATTTGTTTCAGTTGATGATTTATCTCATAAGCATTTTTTGGTGTCGTCACAACTAGATGTTATGAAAAGAACAAGATCAGAACAGTACCTACTACATATTCTTTCCGAGTGGTCTACATATCGAAACTAACGCATTCTCACCACATCCCTGACCAGTAGGGAAGTTCCAGGTTTTACAACTTTTACACAAGTGTTCTGACTACAAGCAGGTTGTTGGCTATCTTGAAATCTGAGGGTTTGGGTTGAAAAGTCACCCAATCAGACAAAGTCACAAAACAGAGACTGCCTGCTCCCAGTGTGCTGGGTAACTTAATGGTTTATAATGTACAATTTGAAAAATGTCTGTTAGCAGATTCTTCATAAATGAAGGGCTAAATGTGCCTGGTGAAATACTGCACATTGTGGGAGTCCCTTTCTTCCCTCTCTGCTCCTGAATACGATAAGAATCTCATAATATGTGACCGTGTCTACGCATGCAATTAATGCAACTGAATATACTCCAGCTCCATTTGAACCAGAGTAAACCGGAGTAATCCTGATGTCACCATCTATACATCTGTTTACGCACAGTACTTTACTGAACTGCCAGATGCTACCTGTATCTGATGGGACTAACCAGCAATGCATTAAATTAGCCTACTGCATCCTAACTGCTGCACACATTTAGACAGTGAGACTTTACTCTGCAACAATTTAGTCTAATGCACAGTAACGTCTCATGTAGACACGCCCTATGTGTACATTTTGTACATTATACATTTTAGGTATCACACTCTTTTTGAATAACATTAACTGATTTCAAGTTTTACTAACTTGCCACTTTTTCTGTTCAAAGTCAGATAATTTAAGTGTAACATCCAATTAACTTGATTTGTGATGTTAAAGCCAAAGTCAATACTCCAGTGAGATAAGGATGACCTGTTTATGCTGCCCATAAAATTTCTCTTAAAAAAGAGATAGATATTTGAGCATATTACAAAATGCATGTGTACAATGAACACAATTCTGTTTATCTGAATGTCCTGCCAGGGACCTCCAAAACAGCCAGATAAGGGGTAAAATGAAGGAGGAACCAGCTACAGGCATTGTAAATTCCCTATTTTGGGTTCCACAAGCCACATACAATGAAAAGATGACATCAAGCTTTTAAAAGCTGCAGATCTTATTTCAGGAAATTACTGTATTTACCCAAATCCAAGATGACTTCAAATTTAAGATGACCCTCCAATAATCAGATTCTAGAATATGGAAACTTCATGGGAAAATTCTAAATGTGTTACCATTTTCCATGTCTAGAATCTAATTATTGGAGGGACATCTCCCCCACCACCACCACCACCACCACAAAGCAGCAGCCAGGGGCAAGGGCCAGACCCCCCACTCCTTGCCCCCATGCCTATGCCTGTTCCTTGCTTCCTGCCTCATTTGCCGCCTGATCCCCTGCTCCTTGGCCCCTTGTGCCTGCCCCCTGGTTCCCATCTACATCCCACACATCCCCCCTACACCCCACAACTGCTTACCTTTTGGGAGCAGCTCTAGCTCCAGCACAGTCAGCAGTGGCCCCAACCAGGGGGGAAGCAGTGCTGGCAGCTCCAGGCCCAGCCAGATTAGGGCCAAAGGGATCAGAGCCAAAGGTCAGAAGCAGGGGAGTGGGGAGGGCAGGCAGCAGGGGAAGAAGGTAGGATGTGTGGCCTCCTCCATGCTTCCCCCCTCACCCCAAGCCACACACCTCTGGTTGTCCCCCTCCCCCATCGCACAAACCACCCCAACAGCTCAGCTCCAGCTTTGACCCCAGGCTGAAGCCAAAGGTGAACCACCACCAACCTCAGGCAGCTACTCAAATCTAAGATACCTTCCCTTCCCACACCCCATGATTGAAGTAAAAATCTTGTTTTGGAGTCAAGTAAATCTGGTATGTTGGATGTCATCTTTGCATATTTGCAGGCCTGTTACAGTAATGCAACATAACGAACATTTGTGTCCACATACCCTAGCATCCCTCTGGAATTAATGCGGTTCTTACACATCCTAGATTCCTTGCAGTACTTACGTTTTCATTTTGTCCACGACACGTAGTCGCACAAATGCTGATAAGGCATTTTTCTGCACATCAGAAGACAACACCTCGTAACACTGAGAGCTTCCTAGAGAGAAAGCAAAAAGGCAATAAAAACTCTGCTCGTTACCCATCTACGAACTGTGCGTAAGGTGTCACATCTCTACCACACGAGATACATACCTGTCTCGAGAAGCGGAAAAGCAAAGTTACGGATTCCAGATATCATCTGCTTCTCAGTGAAGGCCTCCTTTGCTTCTTTTGAGAGGTACCTGCAGATTATCTAAGAAACATTAAGCATATTCAGAAATCTCTTCCTTCAGTTTAATTTGTCTTTAATTAAATGCATCTTTTAGAAATGGAAACATGGTATAATAAAGGAATAATATATCTTCGTAATAATCAGAATGGAAAGATTCATTTTTATTAGGCTTATATATACACACCATTATATGAAGCATTTTACATTTTAATGCTGTTTATGATTAGCAGTTAATAATAAGAACCCTAGTATTTACATCTAAAATTATTTAAGATCACACTGAATCATCATAGAAGCTGGTTTTTAGTCTCTGTGTTTAAGGAAATTGCTGAACCAGCAACAATGACCCCCATTTCAGCAGCACCTACTTTACGGATGGAAAAGGTAAGATACAAAAGTAGAGTCATACAACTTAGTGGAAGAATCAGAAATAAATCCCTGCCCCACCACATCCCAGGTCTGTGCTCAAATTCAGGGGCTGGCAACCTATGGCTCTATGGCTGGATCTGGCCTGCAACAGAGTCCCCTGCAGTTGGGGATTTGTGGACGTCACATTCCAGCAGCCCTAGTCCCCTTGTCAGCTTCACACTCCCTCCTCTTGTGGGCAACACCACTTCTGCAGTGAGGGGTGTTGGCATGGCCAACAGAACCCTCATGCCACAACCACTGACTTTTTCACTGCCAAATTTACCTTTGCTGATTGTCATTCTCAGCAATAATCAGCAGCTCCAGGGTGGGGACGGGATCAGAGGGTCCCTACACTTGGCAGCCATTGCATTAATCCCCAAGCTGCTGGCTGCACTGACACTTTGCCCCATAGCAGCAGCATCTCTCATAGCAGAGGTGTGTAGGGCAAGGGGCATGAGGCTGGAGGACCTGGGTGCCTGGGATGTGACCCTCATGCTGCCTGTGGGCAGTGTACCGGGTGGGGGATAGAAGTGCCTGCATGCAGGCACAAATGACAGCCTGCCATTGTTAAAAGACTGCCACCCCCTGCTCTAATCAATAGGTTACATTGCCAGAGGTGGACACTGGATCTGAAATAAAGAGCATGCAAAAAGAATAAAAGTGAAAGAGCTTAGTTTTTGTGGGCTTCAGGGAAAAAATAATTTCAATAGACACCAGTGGGGTGAAGCATTCTGACACAGGCTTTGGCACGAATTAGATCCAAACTCTTCTCCAAACATGTAATTACCTCCTGTATTTTGCATGCTAGCGCACTAACGGATTCACCAGCTGTTCCTCCTAAGGAATAATAATTAATCCATTAGGAGAAGGTTCCACAAGGAGTAGGGTATGTACATCCAGAGCACAGGTACTGCTACAGCCTTCTCTTCCTCTTTTGATTGAAGCAAGTATTAAACTTCCCTACTTGTTTTTGAGGTGCCTAAAGGAGGCCCTTCTCTCTTTATGCTGGGATCTGAGTGCTTGTTCCTTTAGATTTCTCCTTTTAAGTGAAACTGCACTTCACAGTGATATGCTTACCCACCCATGCAGAGACACTTAGATATGGCTTGTCTGTGAGGGAAAGCTATTGCAAAATAAGCTAGGGTAGAAAATTTAAAATACAGACATTGCGGAATGGAGCAGATCAGCTGTGCAATTGCGTGTTGTGAAACACATTTGATCCCTGGGCTGTTCCTGGCATGCAGCTGAGTTTAGCTCTTTCCACAGCAGAATAAATTAAACCACACCAAGGCATGCTTAGTGCAGAATATGACGAGCATCCACATGGGCCGTTACTGTGGGCATATTTGTGCAGACAAGCTCTAATCTATATTTCCAAATGGCATATTGCAAGGACCTAACATGGATGAAGGGAAGTGCCCCGTCATTTTTTAAAACATGTCAGGAGTGGGAATGAGCAAGACTTTATATGTATGTGAATTTACTACTGCTGTGCCCTTTGCTGTACTAGTACCAATTGCTAAGATGAGTGTGTGTGAGGGGAGGGGGCGGGGGGGGAGGAGGGGGACGGGTTGTATCACAGAAGAACCAGGACATTTGCCACTCTCTCACCAAAATATACAACCTGGGACAAGAGAGAAGTTTGTACAGAACTGCATACCTGGTAACTTTCCATAAAAGGCCTCAACATAGCTGATAGGAAAGATACTGCAGCGCTTCCTTTCTCTGCAACTAAGATTTCCTGTGCAGTGACTTGAATTATATCACATTTTGTGAGCAGAAAACATCCTTCTTCAAAGTCCTGGGGAAAGAAATGGTGTTACTGATACTTCTGCAACTTGGACAAGTACAATTAACTCTACTCATGAAAATTAACCACTTACTTACCTGAATGGATTTTTCAAAGGACTGAGCTAACACTCCCACATAATTTAAACAGTGGCTACAGCACCCTTTGGAAGTGTGGAGGACACCCGAGTCCCAGTCCCCATGGTTATTTACATATTTTATCTAATGACTGTTTAGTGTAAATTGCATTGTAGTCCTGGCAGCAGGGATCATAACCTAGGTTTCCCTTGTCCCAGAGGAGTGCCCTCACCACTGCCATGCTCCCTTTCCTTGTTCTCCCTCTGGTCCCAGGAGCCTTGCATTTCTTTCCACGCAGTGGTCTGGGTTCAGCAAAAAGGAGAAGACGAGTACACCTCAATGTAGCCCTCAGCTTGGGATCAGAGGATTCTCCTGAGAGCTTGAAGACACAGATTTGACTCCCTTGAGGTGGTCCTAGAACTGCGGTCTCTTGACTTCTTCAGCAAGTGCCCTAGCCACTAGCTTGTCACACTAAACAGTAGCCATCCACAGTAGCTTTCTTTCCCCCTTCAACAGTACAGGCAACCCCCGCTTAACGTGGTTCCAGTTAGCACTACTTTGCTATAGCGCTCATTTAGAATTGATACCCGATTCTGCTGAGCGCTCAGCTAGTTTCGCTAGAGGGCTCAGTGGAATCGGAGTTTCGGCAGGCAGGGAGAAGCAGTGGCAGCAGCAGCAGCGAGTTGGAGGTGAGTGAGTGGGCAGGCATGAGAGCCCAGGGCAGGATGGCAGAAGCGTGGACCCAGGCTGATGCATGGTGCCGGAGTGGGCAGCAGGTAAAGACAAGTGGCTGTAAAAGAGGGGAGGAGCGCAGGACCCAAGCCGGTGCCCGGGGCCTGCACCCAGGGTGGGAGGCAGGAGCATGGGGCCTGCGCTGGTGTGTGGGGCCCGTGTCGGGGCCAGTGGAAGCCCACACCCAGAGCAGGGTGGCAGGTGCACTGGTGCCCGGGCTGGAGCAGGCGGGGCGGGGGGAGAAGTGGCAGCAACAGAGGCAAGTAGCGCAAGCCCGTGCCAGTGCCTGGGCCGGCAGGGACCTGTGCCCAGAGTGGGGCAGCAGGAGCGCAAGGCCCGCATCGGTGCCCGGCAGCAGGGGCCAGTGCCCAGAGTGGGGCCACAGTAGTGCTAGTGCTTGGGCTGGCAAGTGGGGCCGGAGAGGCCAGCAGACAGGCGAGGGGATGGGGAGAGGCAGCAGCAGTGAGAAGCAGCGAGGAGGGTCTGGGCATGATCGTGGGACCCGTGCCTGCGCCCAGGGCCAGGGCCGGCGGGGGCCCAGAGCGGGGCAGCAGGAGCACAGACCTGGGCTGGAGCACCGGCAGGTGGGCCAGGGAGTGAGGAGAGGCAGCGGCAGGGCAAGCAGTAACCAATTAATCTCTATTTACATTCATTTCTATGGGGAAATGGGTTTCGCTTAGCGTGGTTTCACTTAACGCGCTCGGTTTTTCTGGAGCCAATTAAGAGCGCTAAGCAGGGGTTGCCTGTATTTTTGATGAAAGTGGCCATGGCTTCATCTTCCATGCAGAACTTAACACAATCAGTGCACACTATGTGCACTCAGAGAATACTTCCTTGATTAGAGCCCTCAGGCAATTTTGGCATAAGGACACAGTTTGTAACTCCCAAACAGCCTTAAACATAAGCTAGGTACCGAGCTGGCCAGCACATCTAAGATGGCAACAATTCTGAGTACATGCAGTGGCAGAATTCCACGCCCAAGGAAATTTAATGGAAAAGCAAAGGATGGCATTCTATCCTTCTCTGGACAGCTGGATTGAACATCTGGTTGTCTACATTATGGCTAGACAACCTTTTCTGGCTGCAGTTGAAATAGGTGGGCAGTGGGACCCAGCAACAGCTGAAGTCACCACTCCCTTACCCCGCTGATCCACAGCTCCCCCCATGTCTCCATGCCTTGGGTCTGACTGAATGGGGAAAGTGGGGAGATCATGCTGGGTCCTAGTGATGTGTTTCACAACACGCAGTTGCACAGCTGATCTGCTCCATTCCGCAATGTCTGTTTCTAGCCTAAGTGGTTAGGTAGGGGTTTTATAGATCACTTGCGCAAACACAAACACCTAAATTCTGTCTAAGCTGCATATCAGATGCTCAAGTCCTTTTTTTTGGATTTTGCCCTTAGAAGTCCATAGAAACTTGGTGCCCAATACCCTGTCAAAGACAGTAATAATGTAGAACGTCCTTATTTTGGCTCAAAAAAAAGGCTGTTACATTCACATTAGTTTTCCTACTCCTGACTAGCTTCTGGTAGTATGCCATGCCACTTGCATCTTTGTGGACACATGTACATGAGACACCACATGCGCAGTAGATTAATTCTACTGCGCATTAGTGCAGCACGCAAAAACCGTGCTACCTACTGCAAATTCGCATCACCTAAAATGTGTGCGCCGGCACTACTTCAGAGTAGTGCTGGTGTTACTCTGTATTTAGCTAGTACCTGTTATTATAGACACAGTAACCACCACGCATTAATGCACATGTAGATGTACTCAGTTAGAAATGCAAACAATGAATTAATAATTCAGGTCTAATGTGGTAAAAAATGTTACAGATGACATTCTCAGTGGCCCAATATATACAAATAGTTTTGGATTTAAGATATTGACAAAATTGCTAACAGCCTTTTCCAAGACATTATTTTACTCTCTCTCTGTCAAATATACTTCAAATCCTAAACTTTTCTGCAATCTGGAAAATGCACAGTATTTTTTCTAAACTCAAAAATCATGGAAAGTATTGCAAGGGCTGTACTTTGTTCATAGTAAAGATTTTAATTACTGGTTTTGGTATAAACTTTTCCTCCAAGGCCTGTAAAATATTATTTAAACCATGGAAGTTTCCATGGGTGTATTTGAACTGTGTGTGGTCACAGACTGATTTTTTTAATAGAAATTTGTTACGTACTTTGCATTTGCTATTTTTAAAGTTTGCTACTTTACAGTACTATTAAAAAGTGTTCACCAAACTCACTTTGTGATTAAAATCTACAATCTGATAAAAAATTGAGTCAAAACCTGAACTATTAGATGAATGGAAGTTTCATTGTTGAAGCAAGACCTAATTTTAGTATATGTGCTGCCGAAGCAAGCGTAACATCTAATCCTCCTTGTTTTTAAATACAGAGGTACATTCCATATTTGTGTAAAATGCATGAAACACTTTGGTACACCACTGTAACGAAGACATTCAGTAATCAAACCTCAGTTAGATAAAGTGAATTCTGTTTAATTTCTGGACAGGACAGCAGCTGCCACTCTATTCCACAGTACAACCACTGTACTATAGCTTCTGGGAAACGTTAAGTGAAATGCACTATATTCAGTCAGAACTCTAGGGAACATTTATGTAGGTGTAATGCAGTGAATTCATACTGCATTACAGCGAAAGGATTAATATCTCCTATTCGTTGTGGGATGGGGAAGAATTTCCTTCACAACCACCTAGCTTGTTCTCTTCCCGAATAAGGAACTAGACATCTAAGCCCAGGCAAGCTGGATCACCCTCCTGAGCTAAGATACCCAAGTTTTAGATGTTCAGTGTTTAAATGTAGGTACCTGTGGAACCTGTCTGAACCCGGCCCAAAATTCTTTAACGCCGTGCTAAGAAACTAGTGCGAGACTCACTCGCAAAGTTACCCTAACTGAACAAATGATCTATGTTTGGATTTTCCTTGACATCTTCCTCCCATGTACTGACCTGAGATTTGACAAGCAGAACAATTTCTGAAAATATCGTTTACTGAGAACCTTAAAGCTACTCCACCTTTCAGCCAAGGAAAACTTCACAGACCCTCATTTATTTTATTTAAACAAATAGGGAAGGTTTTACCTTCACTGCAATGCCAGGGAAAAAGATGAACTCATCAGAAAAAAGGTCTCGCAAAAAGCTGAAGCAGCTATAGACTTCCTCTGAAAAACAGATATTTGGGAGATACCATTTATTTAAGTTATTTGTAAATTAAGGAGTAAGCAGCTTTAAAAACAAGGGGAAATTTCCAATAAGATTGCACTGTTTTAGCAAATGTTATTTTGGACATAACATCACCCTCAAAAATAAGCACAAACAGAAACCAAGTCATCATGGAATAGTCATGCCAATATATATCATCCAACTAATAATTAACAATGGGAACAGAGCTGGTTTGTATCTGTGCAATCTTCTTGAATGTGCAAACAATAAACGCACAAACTTTTCATTAAATTTGTCTCAAACACCATTACTTGCACATAAAAAAAAGCTGTGGCAAGTACTATGGAAGGAAAGTCATGCAATCTAAAATGCTTTAGAAACACCAATAAGGAGATAGGGAGGGATTTGGAAATAGTCATACTGTATGTGGATAGGTACTCTATGATGCAGGTACTGAAGTGCAAACATGCAGTCTTAGCATACACTTGAAAAATCAGTCAGGCCTTACACTTACCAAATTTCTTTACAGACAGAGGTTAGCAATGTTAGTCTGAAGTCAGGCAGAAGGCAGGGTAGAGATGCACCTTATAGACTAACTGAATCAGAGATGCATAAGCAGAAGTGAGCTGCTGCTCATAAAAATTAGATGCTGAAGTGAGCTCTCGTCCACAAAAGCTTACACATCTGATTCAGTTAGTCTACAACTTATATCTCTAACTTGCCTTCTAAATTACTGTACATTTGTGTTAAACAACATACAAAAGGGGGTACTTTCAAACACGCTTCTATTATATAGTAGAATGTGGTTGAAGTTGGTCCTCTTAGGAAACATGCAACAAACATCAGAATGGCAAACACTTGCAGAGTATCTACTTCCAAACCAATACTAAACGGCAGATCAGCGCAAACAGTGTCAGGAATCACAGGATTCATCTTACCTTGACCCATGATTTCATACACTGCAAAAAGCATCTGGCCTGGTTCCCAGAGGACTGTTTTAACATGGTTGTGAAAATGGTTTGGCTTTGTGCTAGTATGAATAGGGACTTAAAATGGCTGCAAAAAAGCACAAGTCCGCTGCCAAATGGACCTCATCCAAAATGCTGGCATCAAGAGTCTCAGTTTGATTTTCAGAGTTCAGCACCTACAGTTCCCGTGGGCATTAGCTAACAGACTTAGTTCTCAACATCTCTGACAACCAGGCCATTAGGTTTGAGGTACTAATATAATAGAGTACCTTTTCTGAAGCTTTGTGTCATTTGTAATGCTACTGACACCAGAGCTGGACGCACAAACAGATTTAGCAACTGGTTCCTGTAGGACCCACACATGAGGATGGCGAGGGCTTGCTTAAAAACAAGCTCCTCCGTGGCTCCTCCTTCACTGTCTTTATCATTTAAAACCACATGGCCATTGACAAGGATAAAAATGTTTGAGTGCAGGGCAAGGCAGGATGTGACTGCTTTGTTGGCACAAAGATGATCTAGGAAAAAAAACAGACAAACACCTGTATAAGTCCAGAAAATGTGAAATGAAAAGTAACAGTAACCTTCCTCGTTTAAAAGTATGTCTGACATGCATTCACATTGCAATATTTGTACTTTAGATAAATGTGTACTTCTAGGGACACTTCGAAAAACAGTTCAAGACAATGCAAGTTGGAAACAGATGGAGAAGAGATGGATTGGAAAGAGTAATTTCAGGCATTTCTGTAAATACAATATGCTAGACTCCATCCCTTATAAAAATATGAACTGGTCTCCTTCCCTCACTGCAACCAAAAACGGTTAGATACCATTTGAAATCTCAGGAGAGAGAGACAGATAGACCGAACTACATTGGTAGTCTGTTTAGTAACTTTCTTCATTATATTTTAAAATACCACTAAGGGAAAAAGGAGGACCCAGAGAATCACACACCTTTCTACCAAATTTAACTCCCAGGAAAGATCTTGGGAGAAGTGATTAAACAATTGTTTTGCAAGAATCTAAAAAATATTAGTAATAAAACACAGCCAAAATGGGTGCATCAAGAACAGATCAGGCCAAATCAGTCAAATTTCCTCTTTGATAGGGTAAATGGTTCAATAGGTAACAAGGAAGCAGAAGATATGATATGTCAACTTTAACAAGACTTTTCATGGTCTCAGATTGATAAAATATGGAAGCATGGCCTAGATGTAATCAATTGTGTGTACAACTGGTTGAAAAACTGTTCTCAGAGATTAGTTATCAATGGTTTCCTTTCAAACCAGAAGGGCATGCCCACATAAAAGACACAGGTCTATTCAAGGTCCAATTCTATTATTTGGATGATGGAATAAAATTTGTGAGTAACACCAAGCTGGGGTTACTACAAACACCTGAAAGGACAAAATTATGATTCAAGAGTGACCTGACAAACTGGAGAGATGTTCTGAGGAAAAAATAAAAGATGAAATTCCATAAAGACAAATACTTAAATGCCACATCTAGGAAGGAGAGACTGAATACACAGATAAAAAATGGGGGAATATCTGACCAAATAGCAGTATGACAGAAAAGGATCTGGAAGTTGCAGTGTATTACAAATTAAATGTATATCAGAATCATGATGCTGTTGCAAGAAAGCAAAATCTCATTCCGGGCTATATTAAACAGACATGTTTCCTGTAAGACCTAGGAGGTAATTATTGTATGCCCTGTGCTGGAGAAATCAAGGAAAAAGAACACTACATAAACAGGAGTGAGAAATCTATTATAATCTTTTGTATAATCGAAAAAGAGGACATGATCAATGGTTCACTTTGCTAACTGGAGGAAGGGCAAGAAGAAATAACCTCACTTTCTTACCAAGTTCTTTAAAGTTGAATATGAGGAAAAACTTTCTAAATCACCAGGGTGACAGAACCCTGGAACAGGCTATATGGGTAGGCTGTAGAATCTGCTTCATTACTAGTTAGACAAGCATGTGTCAAGGATGCTTTAGGTATAAGCAATGGTCTAAGTGCACCTGGTCCTGTCTCAGAACTGGGGTTGGACAAAACTATTGTGATTTTTTTAACCGAGGTCCATGGAAATAGCAAATGACTAGTGTTACTTGGCCAATACAAATGGCTGTCTCTGGGCATTTTAAGTGGTGGTGACTGTATATTTAAGGAGATAATTCTGGCTGAAGATCAAGCACTCACTGCAAGCATCTCGGGTTAGCAGGCAATTATCACTTAGACTTTTATCCCAACTTGAGGGAAAAATCTATTTTCAAGAACCTGCATATTATCATCCAGTCTATGAGAATATTATTTACATTAGAGACATTTCCTTGAAACAGCGACTGAAAAAACCTGTTAAGCAAACAAATCATAGCATCATAGTGCTTAGGGTTGGAAAGCACCTAAACAGATCATCAGGTCCAACCCAGGGTCGGACCTGCTAATTACTGACTAAAATGAGTATGTAATTAGCCTACAACTACAGTGGCTAAAAGCAGCTTTTGAGACTTGACCTTGTTAGGCCTTGAACAGACAACCACATACCCCTACATAATTTCTATCACTGTCAGAGGTCACACTGGGATCAGGAACAGAGACAAGCAGTTATGCTGGGGTAGCTGCACTTAGCAGGTAGCCATTACTGTATTTCAGTAGGCAGCCAGGGACAGGTTAACATCCTGTGTACCCTTAGCAAACCAGGACAGAAACCCCTGTCCACGTGTAACCTACAGCAGTGGACTGGGTGAAATTTACCCCAGTTTAGGGCGTTTGAATCATGCCTGCTCCTTTTAAAACTAGTGTAAATGCACCTTCTGCCCAGATCCAGGTATAGAAATAATGAGTCTGCTGAAGCAAACTTGCATACCAGCCTTTGGGTTTGGAGTCTTTCTAATAGAAGAAGTTTTGAAGATTTGGAAGACTTGACATTTTCTTTAGTACCCACAAGCCAAAGCTCCCTTAAATGCAGTTTCAAATTCAGACTCAAAATGGAAGCGTAATACCTAACATCTTTACATGGAGTTACCAGACTACTCAGGCCCATCAAGGTGCTACATCTTTCTGAAGAAAAACAGTGTGCATTCTTTTAAAGAACTGAAAAGTAGGTAGGAAAAATGTTATGCCAAGAATGCTATTCAAACGCTAAGTGAATGCTGGCAAAGCTGAGGGTATGGTAGATAAATATAAAGCACGCCCTAGAGCCTGTAATATGAAACCAAAGGCACAGTGTATATGTACAGCCTCATTCAGCCAGAAATGTAACTTTATGTCACTCTATTTGATTAATTAAACAATTTTTAAATCAAATCTGAAAACATTTAAAGCATTCTCTTTGCTGACTATAGGACAAATATTGCTTAACCACAATACACTGGTAAGCAAGGGAACTACATTCCTTAGGGACTGTGACCACATCAAAGCTATAAAACACTAACAGAGTAACATTAATTTTAAAAGAAACAATGCAAGATAACAGATAAATTACTTCAGAATAAAAAGTTGCTTCAGCTTATCTTGTTCTAACTTGGCCAGCACACTGAAGTTGCTCAGCAGACAGAAGTGGTGAGGCAAGGAGGCTGTCTTGCAATTCTTCCTTCCAATGTTGAAATTATAGTTTAATGTAAAAAGAAATAATGTCCCACACGTTACAAACACCCAGTATAATCATGGGAGAAACAACCAGGAGCTTGGTGGAGGACGCTCAGAAGGGACAACGTGATTTACATAGACCAAAAACTTTGTAGTATCTGAACAACCATTTATAAAGGTGTTAACTACTTCACATTAACTGGAATCAATTATTTTGAGAGAAAGAATCCTGTGTAGATGTACTCACTCTGTGGCTAGCCAAGACAGTGAAATCTGACCGATTCTATGATCAATTCCATGTCTTCCATTTTCACAGTTTAGCATTTCTTATTTTAAACAATAAGTAATATATTTATGCTTTTTAGTTTTACAGAACATGAAGGTTCAAAGACACTTCTGCATACAAGTGAAGTCTAGGAAGGACTACCACACGTAATTTTTTAGCACTACAATGCCCCCCTGCCAAGTGGTCAAAAATGCTATTGATGTTCAGCACTTGTGCTAAACAAGCATCTAGACAACCTTCAGAGGACCATGAGTAAAAGTGAAAATAAAGTCTGGAATCCTCAAGCAACCAGATCACAGAGTTTCAGTCCAAATCTGAATAGCCAAAAACTTCTGTAAAATAGCCAAGACTGCAGGCAAAGATTAAAAGCCTTAAAATGTACAGGTATATGATGGAATAACGTCAAGAACACAGAGAAGCAATTAATCAGTTTTATGGACAAACTGCTGAAAGATCAGGAAATTATGTGAATTTATGGCTTGAAATGTGATAGTAATTCAGGCTAATTTATTTCTGATAAACTACAGATCTAAGAATGGAGGTAAGAAGTATTGATGAGAAATTGTTATGGCTTATAAATGTATATTTGTCTCACCCTGAGAAGTGAAGAGGCTTGTGTCTCACTTGTAGAACTTCTGCAACATTTTAATGGCAGCAAAAATACCTGGAGAGTTCACATATAGAAATACCCATCTTCCATTCCCAGACTGTACTATAACTCTATGATAGCAAAAGCTCATTCATGGCTCCTTAAAAAAAAAAATACTGCAAAACATCCCACATTTGAAATATTCTTTATCTAGCAACAAGAACCTAGTTTTGGTCATATTTCTCACAGGTAATTATTTTTACTGGGCCTTCAGTATCTGAAGAGAAGAGAGATGAGTATTTTTCCATGATTTGCAGTTCTCTTACACTGTGGTACCTCCCCCGCATTTTTTTCTTGCAGTATATAAAAATGCTTCCTTTTAGTTGCATACAAATAAGCAGACTAGTCAAGGCCTGTTCAGACTATAATTTAAAGTATCCAGTGTCTTTAAAAAAAAAAAAAACAACTTCATCGTGTATCATGATTTCACACGACAGGAAAATGTAAACACAGGCTGTGTTACTCTTATCTCTTGCAAAAGGTGTCAGTGGTTCCTCATATTACAATTCACTTCAAAGAGAGTTAAAATATAAACAGTGCTTAGTTTGTAAAGTTGGGCAGGAAAACAAACCCTCAAGGCAGGTAGAAAGGCAAAAATACTCCAGAAAATGGTACAAAAGAAAACTAAAGCTACAGCACAATCTACTCTGAGTAAGTGTTCATGATACTATGGTGAGCTACTGTTGTACATGAGGTAATGTTCTGTGACTGGTATTTAAAGAGTAGGATATGGCTCAAGATACTATTATTTATCTTATTAGTATGAATATACACATACTGCATTTTCTCTTCCTTTGCACTTTTGCACTTCAAGCAATGACAATAGCATGTGTATTCTGTCACCATGACTGGATTTTCCACTGAAGACCCCTAGGGTCAAAACCCAAACCCCTCGCATACTGCTGTCAGTGAATACTAAAACTCGTCCATGATTCACAATCAATAAATACATTATTCTGCACAACTCCTATTTAGACACTGCTTAAACATAAATAAAGCTGACTCTTGCTTCCCTCAGCAAAAGAAATTAAACTTTCTCTGCATACCAGGCCACTCAAGGAATCCTCCAAAAGTCTGTGTTAAGCCTTTAAGCCAAAGCGTCTTTTCCACCAGAAGATCAAAGTCTATGGCTGGCAAATTCTGTAGTAGGATAGTGGCAATTAACACCCAGGGGCTCAGAACCATGTTTTCTATTTGCAGGAGCTCAATTTTGTAGGCTACATTGTTGACAAAATCTTGGATATCCTCAGATGGCCTTTGGGGAAGATATCTGAAAGAAAAAGTTTTGTTAATAACTACATTACAATCAAGGACCTCTGCATCCTAGGATGCAAGTGACAGCCTAACGCTACCATCTTGTACCCAGCTGTACGCTCTGACACAGAGACACTCATCTTCCCTTCATACCCCTAACACACTAAGGGCAATTATATATACTTATTACCATATTTATTTAATTTCAAGACAAGGCTTTTTTTCACCATTTAACATGGAAAAACAAACCCTGGTCATGGAACTGAATACGAAGTGGCTGGGGAGACAAGATGGAGTGAAGGGGGTGGAGGCACAAGGCAGCTGAGGGGGGCAGGCACAATATGGAGGGGTGGCCAAGGGGCAAGTCTGCCCCTTTACTGCCTACACCACCACCTGCCTCCTCAACTGCCTCCCCCACTGCCTGTGAAGGGCCCCTACTACTCCCTTTCCTATTGTAATGAGCAGAGGAGGAACATAATTAAGACAATCCTCCAATAATTCAAGTCTTTGCGTGGAAAATTATAACAAATTTATCACACTTCCATGTATAGAATCTAATTATTGAGGCAACTGTCTTACATTCAGGGTTGTCATAGATACAGGTAAATATGGTATGTAGCACATGATGCTTAAACTATAGGGAAAGGCCCTCAGGCTTACTCAACAGAACTACCACTGGCTTCTATAGGAATGCTAAGGTATGCCTAACCAATTAGAAAATCATTTTAAAAACTTTCCATTTGGCTGAAAGTATTCTAAAAGTACTACACAAAGTGCAAACACCTAATCGATGCATGTTTGTTTTTGTATAATGAAGAAATCTCACTCCTCCAGGGGTAAAACAACGCTGAGGATGTTCCCTGTTCCAAACTCTGTATCTCTCTGGGGAAATGGCCATTTTTTGTGAACGTGTGCAATATAAACAGGCATGTGAAACCCCTTTGAGGAAGAGAATTACACAGCTACAGCTGCAAAGCTATTATACATGTGGTTTTGATATATGATAGTAAATAGGTGTTATGTCCTTGCTCTTTTCAGAAGATTTTTGTTGTCTGAACACTCTCTTTAGTTACATCATACTCCTCTCAGCTTTTTCACGTATTCTAAATGCTTAGGAATCAAGACAGGTGTTATAAATAAAATAGAGTATGTTTCCAAGACCATATGACATGTTATCTTTGCCCTCCATAATACAGGAAAAAAATCTCTCTCAGTCATCTCAGTGTGGCTGAAAGACCTGAATGAAAACGAGCTAAATGAAGCATACTCCAGACAGGATTATGGTAAAGGTAACGAACATGCTGGGCTCATAAACCAGGGAGAACCTGCCTTCCTCAATACTGCAAGGGATTCAGCAGTCCTTTGCTCAAGAAGTTTGTGATCTGGGATGCTTTCAACTCTCCGATTACCCTTGGGAATTACTAAGAGAAGTAGGCAGACAAAGCAACTTAAAACTGCCTCAGAAATACACTTGTAACCATCGTTCCCCACAGCAGATCTTGCAGCAATTATCCGTATCTTTAGCACCCTGTGGAGCATACGTATGGCAGTGCTACCCTCGGAAGACAGAGGTGGTACAAAATGCCAGCCCATCCGTTTGGCAATATTAACCATAAGAAACTTACTTCATTTCAGTCTGCACTGGCTTCCTGTTTACTTCTTGGAAGAGGTCAAAATATTAATACTGATTGAGGCCTATAAAGGGCCACTTCACAGCATGGGTCATGGTGACCTGAAAGACCAGGTTTTTTAGTGATGTTTTGACTCAGAGGAAGTCAAATGGACTCTCTTATTATCAGTCCTAAGATCTGAACATCTAAAATAGGAGCCAAAGGCTCTGGAACTCACTTTCTCCCCCCCACCCACTGCTCTTACAGGCTGGAAAACAGATGTCACTTTTGCGTGATCATTAAAATTTTTACAGCAGCAAAAGGCCAAGCAAACGGACATCTGTGCCCCATAGTCACACAAGTACCTAAAATTATGGCCATGACAGTAGATAGCGTAACATTTGTGCTTTTTTGTGGCAGACATCTGTTTGCTTTATGACAGGAGAGCACAGGCAGCCTGAAGTTACCTGCTGTCTCCAGTCACCCCAGGCAGGTGCTCCCAAGGTTCAAGGCACTATCCTGCACACCCCAGAAATTCCTATTTCTGTAGGACTGGGCCCCTGAATCCCTGGGAGTGCCTGCCAAGTCCCTCATTTGCAGAGATGTACTCTAGGAATCCTCCAGCAGTGGATTCTTTGCATAAGTATACTACACTGCTGTGCCCTAATTCAGGGCATGCCTCTGCAAATAGGAGAATCCTGGGTTTCCTCAACTGCAACAGTCCTACAGGATCAGGCCCCAGGAACAGCTGGGGCCCAACCCTGTGGGATAATGGGCAACATCTGTCACCCAATGAAGCGGATCAGCTGTGATGGGACATGTCCCAGCACAGCTGATCCTACTTCAAGGCCAATATCTGTTTAGACACAGAGACATCTGTTGGTCAGTCAAGCACAAAAAAACTACCTATTCACTGGATTTTGCCTAATAGACATGATTATGGATTATGAATTTCTTATATAAAAAATCACAAGCATTATATATGTTGATCCTCTCTAATAATTAAAAATGAAGCAAGAAAGTAAAATCCTGGATCATGTGTCCACTAGCCCATTATATCAGTGCAGAGGGTAACCACAAAAATGTTTAATGAATATTAATACTTGATGAAAATTGGGATTATGAAGCACTCTTCACACAATACAAAGCAGAAAATAATGAGTCATTTCAGAAATACCTTTTTTCTAGTCACCACCCCACAGCTGAGCAAAGGAGGCCTGACAGCATCAACAATCAGATCAAGTGGAAGGGAGGATGGGGGAAAAGCTTGTACTCCTGACAGCATGTCAATAAAAAGGAAAAGGCTATTTCCCAAGCTCAGCTTTTTTCCAGAAGAAAAAGAAAACAAGTGGTAGTTTTGTACATATATTATTAGAAGTTCAGAGGTCCTGGTACCTTGGAATCAAGTTATACGGCCGTCGATCAATTCTCCCAGATGCCAGGGCTCTCAGTGATAAAGGCTGCCCAATGTATATATGTACACTTCCAAAATCATCACTGAGTATTTTTCTGGCTTTCAATAACCCCTAAAATGTGAAGAGGGGGAAAAATATAAAGGTTGTTATTGCAGAGGTAGACCACAGGCAACTATGTTATATTATTCAGTATGTTTACATACAGATGTAGATTCTTTTGGCTTAGGGACTCCTAGAAGTTCACGTGCATAGAGGGATTCTTCTAATATTCTATCATAGCTGATGCTGATTGGGACAAGATACGTGTCAAAAACCTCTCGTTTAAAAAATGGCTCCATCACGATACTGAGAAGACCTATAAACAAAATAAAATAAGTCTGGTTCTCTTAGGAGAAGCCCCTCAGAAATTCATTTGTAATTCAATGATAAAGGCAACATCTGGTTGCACACCAGACAAAAGCTGTGTCACAAGATGGGAACTGCTCTGAGTGTCTAGAAGCAAGCATGAGCAAATATGGATTTTGCACTTTAAAACAAAATGCAAATAAAAAGCATTACACTTGGTCAAATGTCTGTAGTATATTCTAATAAGCACATTACATTCATAAAGCATCTTCCATCAGATCATTTCTCATTACTTTTGCAAACATTTGTTACTCTTGTACTGGCAGATAACTCCCATTAACACCACTTCAGAGATGGGGAAACAAAAGGAGGTTAAGTGACTGATTTGTCACCCAGGGATCAGCAGGAGATCCAGAAACAGAGCTATTATTTATATGATTAATTACAAAACCCCAACCACAGAAGAGGGCTGTGGTAGTCTGGTGCTGGACCCAGACAATACTACATGAACCATTAAAAGACATCTCCGCTCACTTTCTACTGGTTTGATTTCCTCTTCCTGGGGAGCATAATAAACCACTCGTGAAAAATCAATGAATTCAGTTTTAAATTTTTTCAACTAACATACCAAGCTTTGGAGTAAGAGTCTTGCCAGTGCGGCTTCGAGTCCCTTCCAGAAAAAATTCCATTGGTGCATAGCCACTCTTCGAAACAGAAAGAAAAATAAATCAGGCAAAAAACTAATAAAATAATATTTTATCTTCTCTTCCTACTGATAACTTTGTTAACATAAGTCTATTAAAGGAGAGTCGTGAGAGTGTAACTTCAGGCAACTCTACCACCTACAGAATCAATCAACACCTCCACACTGGCTAAATTAACCAAACATTTTATCTACATTAACATACATTACACAATAAAGTCAAATATTTATTAAAATGTATATTTAAGTTATTTTTACTTGTTCAGTAATATATTTACCCTGATCATTGTTTTTACATATTCAGCAAAAACTGCCCAATAGAGCTTGTCTCCACCAAATGTACGTCGCATGAAGAAGGCACCTGACTTTCGTAGCAGCTCACCAACCAGTCTCATTCCTAGGAAATCTAAAAATATAAAATAAAGAAGTATGTACAAACATAATAAAAATAAAACCCCACAAATTCATTGTTTACTGCTGACTGACAAATCTAATATACTTCCTTAAAGTGCTGACCTCAAAGGACTAACCCTTTGGAGATATCTTATTGTTGAAAATATCCTAGATTAGCCTTCAGAACACCACTCTGCACAGAAATGCACTTAAAAATTCCTCAAGCTGCAGGGCAATTTTTGAATTGTGAATCTCTACAGGCAAATGAACATTTACAGTTGTTACTATGCCATTTTGCACATTTAGACGATCAGATTTAGAAATCTGGCCCTTGCTATTACTAGCTCAAATTTCATTGTTTCAATAATCCTGAGAGGGAACAACAATAATTTCAATGTAGTTCAGAAGATCCTTAACTAACAGAAACTATTCTAGCTCTATTAAAGTCAATGAAAGTGTGCCCATTTACATAAGTCTACAGTCTGCTCCATCACCTTTAAAAGGCAGGCCAGGAGCTATCAACAGATGGCTGATTTTGTTTTTCCAAGTCTTAAGGAATCAGAGCCACCTTTTCTTTCTGGAATTTGGCATTTTTTTTAGAAATTTATGCTATAGCAATAGATAGTATGGGGAGGTATTTAATGCAGAAGCCTTTAATAAAGTTCCCCACTCACAATGCTTTGGCAAACATTTACAATTGTGCAGTAAATGTCAGTCAAGATAAACAAAAAGTCACAGGTCCAACAATAATACTTGGCTGGCATTTTATTATGATTCTATAACATATTATACAATAAACTTTATAATTAAACAAATATATGAAGTCACTTATTTCACTAGAGAGAAATATGGTTGTATGGCATGTTTATGGTATTTTATGTTGAAGCTGCAATCTTAATTTTTCTCCTAACTGTATAAACACTGAGAATATATACGCAATATATTTTTAGGGTGTAGGTTGTAGCCGTGTTGGTTTAAGGACATAGGCAGGCAAGGTTCTTTGGGTACTCCGATATCTTTTAATAGCCCAACTTAAATAGTTGGAAAAACATTTCTTAGGAAATCTTTGGGGTTTACAATCCCTTTGCCAGGCTGAGAAAGCATCTGCAGTTGGTGTGCGCTCTTCCTGGATGAAATGAATATTCATTAATGCTAATATTCATTCCATCCAAGAAGAGCACACACCAATTATAGATGCTCCCTCAGCCTGATGGAGGTTTTTAAACCCAAAAGCTTGCTAAGAATTTTTTTTCCAACTATTTAAGTTGGGCTAATAAAAGATATCAGAATGACCCAAAGAACCTTGTCTGACAAAATATTTTTAACATTTTAAAAATAATAAAAAACCCTTCAGTCAACATCCCCAAACTCAAACCCTTGGTGTGTTTAAGGAGCAGTGGGCACATCTACACATGGATTCATGCTCTGTAATTACAGCACATTAAGTTTAGTACTTGTAATAAAATGCTGCTGTGCAAAGTAAAACTTTCTGTGGAAATGGACTAATATTGATGCATCTTTTGACAGAAATTTATTGGGAACTCTCAAGCTGACTGTTTAGAAGCTGTGGGAATCCTGACTCCCAAAACTTCCAGCTCTGCCTTTTCCTTCTGGTTAGGGATAAAAAATTTACAAAACCCTCAGAACTTCACAGACATGAAACTGATTTTTCCAAACAGATCTTTACTTAGCACCACACAGAACAAGGTTCAATCAATGATTTCCACAGGATCTGAGCACTTAACACTTTGCATTAGAGGTGCACCAATATATCAGTCGCATATCAGAATGGCACTGATAACAGAAAAATTAACATTAACTGGCCATCAGCTTTTTTTGGCCAACAATGTCACCGATAAATGCTATGTGCATGCACGCAGCTGCAGCATGCATACAGACAGGAATACAGACCAGCAGCTTGGAGAGCAGTGTCCGGCCAGTAAGTTTGGGGGGTGGGGGGAGGAGGACAACCCCCACAGTGAGGGAGGGAGTGGGGCAAGGGCAGGAGCAGGTGCTGCCCAGCCAGAGCAGTGAATGCGACCCCAGGCCAGGAGTGGGACAGCTCCGTGGGCAGCTCGTCGGGGGTGGAGGGTGGGGAAGAGAAAGTGCAGCTCTCCGTCGTTGCACACACCCCTGGGGGAGGCATGGGGGGCATGTCCCCCTCTGGATTTGTACATGGGGTGAGGGCGGGCTGCCTGCTGCAGGCTCAGGGGCTGCACCGGCCTCTTCCCAGCCAGGGGTGCTGGGTCAGGACTGGGTTCCAGGTAGGCAGGGACAGGGCAAGCAGTGGTGGCACTGGGAGGAGTGGCTATGAGGAATTTTAGGTTGGCTGTAGCCCACTCCGTAACCACCCCAGCCCTGAAGCAGACAGCCTGCCCTCACTCCATGCATAAATCTGGGAGGGAAGGGTTATGCCCATCATGCCTCCCCCAAGGGTGCACAGTGGCAGGAAGCTGCTCCCCTTCCCCCCGCCCCCAATGAGCTGCCCAGGTCCATCCCACTTCTGGCCCCAGAGTCACATTCACTGCCCTGTCTGGGCAGTGCCTGTCCCCCCATACCCATTCCCTCCCCACAACCCCTTCCACCCCACAAACTTACTGGCCAGACACTATTCTCCAAGCTGCCAGGCTGCTTTCATGTAAATCGGCTATTGGATTGGTATCAGGCGATAAGGCTGGTTAATAATTGGCCATCAGTATAGGTGCATCCCTACTTTTCATGGGATACTAGCAGGCCCTGCAAGGGTCAGACTTAAAAGTCTGCACTTAAAAACAAAGTGCACTTAAAAACAAAGCAGCCAAACCTCAATCATGACCAATTTCAACAATATTTTTTCAAACTTGGTCTAGTATGTACTATTCAATAAGGAGTAGTTACATATCAAGTCTCAAAGCCCTGCCATTCATCTGTGTGCAAGAAAAACAGCATGGTGACTTTTTCTTTGAGTAATAAGTATGTGTTTTCTATCCTACTGAGCACAAAGGTGGATCAGGTTTGTTCAAAATGCTATGAAAATTCATCTTTGAGTAGATACCTCAGCTCTAATGGAGTTTTGAAGAACATTACAAGAGGGTTATAACAAAAATTGTTCCAAACATAACAACAGTAGTTGTAAGAGGTACCCATTTATAATATCTCTGCCTCTTGAAAATGGGTTATTTAAAAGAAAATACTTGCCTATTCCTGCAGCAATGACAGGCAAAGCCAAGTCATAGGTGTATAACAAATACGATAGCATCAGAAAATCCATGTAGCTTCTGTGACTAGGTAGCAGGACAACTGGATGTTCCTGAATGGCTTGTTGTAACTAAGAATAAACATGAAGAGTGTTTATGGAACCTCTAATAAATTCCACTATTGTAAATTTTAACAAAATCTCAAAGTAGAGTGGAACTTGAGATTTTTTTACCTTAATCAAGTTAGTATGTTTTGAGAATGGCAAGTCAAAGTATCAGAGTTAGCTAGGCTTTAATCACAGATCATGTGGAACCATAGTTAAACTGTAAGACACTAGGTCTGGACCCCAAGTCACTCAGAAATATTACCAATCTAGAGTTTCTCAAAGCAGAATTCCCCATTGATGGTAGACTAACTAAGATATCTATATGGAGTGCAAGCTTTCATGAACCCATGTTCACTTCATCAGATGCTGTGAAAGGATGTGCAGAAAGCAGAGTATAAGGAGAGAGAAATTAGAATACAAAAGACAAGGGAGGATGGAAGTGGGGCAATGATAGAAGAGAACAGCAAATGAGCAATAAACCCACAGGAACAAAGGGGGGGGGGTCACAAAAACTAATCAAGGTAATGACATAAGAATCCCCATTCAAACTGATTGCCTGAGAACAGCAATTCTGTAGTCAGTGATGGAGTGTGCAGGGAGGTGGAAATGTTCTGCCACAGGGTTTGCGTTTTACTGCAGCTAATGTCAGATCAGTGTTCATTCATTCTTACACAAAGAAATTGCCCTTTGTCTGATGTAGACGGCAGAAGGGCATTATAAGCAGGTGATAGCGTATATGATGCTGGTGGAATTGCAGGTAAATTAACCTCGAATGTTGTACTTCTTGTTACTGGGTGCAATGATGATATGTTCTGTATTGATGTGGGGACACAGCAGCCATTTGAGTCGACTGTAAGGACCTCTGTGAAGATGGGAGTTTGTTAGTCTGGTGTCTGAGAGATGCCGTTTGAGATGCCGGTTGGGGAGCTGTTTGTAAGCCAGGGTAGGTTTGTCCCCATGGTAGCCACCTTGAGACGGTCATCCTTTTCCAGGAGGGATTAAAGGTAATTAATAATGTGCCTTAGGTGTTCAAACTGCAAGCTGTAGGTAACAACCAGATTCTGTTGTCCTTTTCCTGGGGTTGGTACTGTAGCAGGATGGACTGAGGTCTGAGTCTGACTTTGTTGATTTGAGTGGCTACAGTTTTAAGATCGCATTATAATTGTAATGTTCTAGATCCTATGGTGTTCATCCTGGTCAGTGGGATCATAGCATGGTAGGCATGAGTGGAGGACAACTGTGGGAAGTTTCCTCAGTGGCCAAATGTTTTGGCATTTTGAGGGACATTCATATAACATTCTTTCTTGTATTCCTCTCAAAACATCTCTTTAAACCATTTTAATATAATGATGGGCAATTACTGTATTAGATATAAGTGAAATAAGTTACAGTGAATTTCTCTAAATAACTATTGATGAGCTAGCTACTCATCCTATCAGTTGTCCCACAACTGTGATATATATTCCAAACAGTTCCCATTATTTCCATTATTCCCAAAGCCTAGTAGTTAGTGATTACCTTTTTCCACTTTTTTCGAACTATTTTATAAACTACTTTATTATTGCTACATATTACAAGCGACTTAAAGACAAAATGGGTAATGTCCGTAAAAGATTAAAAAAAGGAAAAAAAAAATAGAAAAGTTCTCTTCATTAAACGTTCCCCCTCCCTGTTCTATATTCACCATCAGGGAGTAAGTTCTGCTAATTTCTGAAAATAAGGAATTCAGACCTGTTTGCTCTGTAGAACTCTATACTGACCAGCAACTAGTGAAATGTTAAATGACGACTTTGCAAATGAACACAAAAAACGTATAGTCAGTCTATGTTTTTTAATGGCTATTTAATTTCAGTGACTAATTCGTATGCTGGAAAAACGTTTTAAATAAAAAATGAATGACTCCCATTTCATACTCACATTTCATTAAATTTGTAAGAATTTTTGCATATGCTTTCTGAATCTACTGATAAGTCATGAGAAAAAAAACCAGTAAAGACCTGAACTGGTATTTCTAATAATTCCGAAAATAAACAATAAAGGCAAAAATCCCCTTCAGACCCTTTTTTATACATAATACAACAAAATTAAAGACACAAGCACAGCTTTTGTCTTTGTATAACATATACAGAAGTATTATATACATGTACATATACAACTATATAGTATATGCTATATTATAGTTTAACTGTGCATGCTATAGCTTAAAAATGATTTAATGGTCATCTTTAGTAGCTATTGCTTTCTCTGTTTCAGCATTTATTTCTGCCCCAAGCCTGCCTCCTTTGTACAATACATTAATTATATAAACCTTCTCTGTTTGTACTGAGAAATCAATTAAAAGGTGGCTCTGCATTACTTAAAATCTGATTTGCATCTTCCTCCTTTTTAATTCTTGAAAAAGACTGCATTCACAAACTAAGGTCTTGCCATTAAAATCTTTAATCTTTTCAGTCTTTGGCCTGAAGTGAAAATTGAGAGTTTGTTGTGGTGATTAGTATAACACTTATATAAGCCTTTATATATCAATACTCACTTTCTGAATTCCTTCTCCATTCACACAAATCTTGCGGAAAAGGGTTTTAAACACTTTGCTCAAAGTAAGAGCAAAAAATCTAATAGCTCTGGTCTGTATATTGTGACCCATCTCATCCAGGATTTCAATGGCTTCTTCTTGTATAATATCAGGGGACTCACCCATCTCCTTTGATAACTAAATGAAAACGGGAGAAAAAACATTAAATTTCCCCTAAACTATGACTATAATATTAGAACTAAGAAAAAGGTAGTAAAGTCAATCCAATACATTCTAAATGGTTCAAATGTTAGTTTTAGAGAACGAGGATCTATGTTAGTGATGGACCTAACGTTACTAGATCTGTTCAATTTCAACAGCGCAAGAAAATCAAAATCTGAACTCTTCTGCAACATAGATTTACAGCTGCATGAATTACAAAGTTTCATTAAACATGTATTTTTGTTTGCAATAAATCACTAGATTTTTGTATTTATGCTTTATTGTACTCATTCTTTTTCTTTTAAAAAAAGGAAATTTACATTTAAGAAGATGATTCCTTAAATTATTTTTCTGATGAATTTATGATGTGGATCTTCTGTCACTGATAAAACTAATAAAATAAAGCTAGTGTTTTAGAGACATTTGCAAGTTAAGTCTCTGAAATGCTTTTGGGGTAAGTTTTTAAGACTTGCTTAAGGAATATCAACATTATTACTCTTGCACTTCTTTGTGCTGAATCCCTTTAGCAACGGCAAGCTGAAACGCATACAAAGTACTCTCTCTACAAATGCTGCATATTGATGTGAAGTTCCTGTTGTTACATACTTTTTTTGAAGCTTCTTACTAGGTAATTCAATAACAGGTCTCTCTTATTAAATATTATGAATTCAAAAACATTTCACCAAAAAAAGATCACCTTTATGGTTCAACTACAACTAAATGGAAAATGTATGCCACATCTCTACAAAAGAATGGAAGAGAAGGCGGGAGTGAGAGTAACCGTGATGAAACTATAGGCTGCAGATTATAGAACTGTATACAATGTACCTTATTAGATATACTACCAGTTCTAGCACACAGTTGAGAAATTCCCCTCCTCCCAGTCTTCCATTGTAAACGATTGCTATTTTATTGTCAAACTGATCCTTTCAACTTCCTCCAATAAAAAATTCATTTCTCATCTTGAATATTTTCATGCCTTGCAAAGGCTAATTATTTTAAGCATACAAAATAACCCAACAACTATTTTAAGCCTGACCAATATCTACCAAACAGAACATGTAAATTTTTTTATAAATGTTAATTAAAGGCAGGGGCCTTTTCCTCCTTAATCTGCAGAAAGGATTCATGCACTGTCAGTCCTTTATGAACATTAATTCATATAGCGCACCTCCCCCTTCAGTGACTAGACATTTATTTTATAAAACTAAGAAATAAAATCAAGTGTGCATGTATGTGTGCAGAGAAGTTGGAAGGTTTGAAACTGGATGGCAATTGGAAGAAAAAACCCCCAAGTGGCTGGCCAAGACCCTAAACCTAGTGCTGGTTGGAAAATCATTTTTAACCAGAAAAATAGTTTAATCGAAATGCAAGTGTTACAAAATCATACTGGCAAAATTTCCTGCATTTGTTAAACAGAAGTCTTTATCTTGGGGAAAAAACAATTAAAAAAGTTTGCTCTGAAATGAGTTTTTCATTTTGAAATTTAATTGTTTTATTGCATACTACTAATTTACATTTCTTGATGTCAACAGTAGTGCATGATATAACATGCCACATCTTAAGTCATATCGTATTTTGACAAATCAAATATTAATATTAATCAATTAAAAAAATATGAAAAAGATCTACTGTTCTCTTAGTACTGATTGAAACATTTTCTATACTTGTGGTAGCCAGTAATCATTTTTCTAGGATACTGAAATTAGCTGCTGCTCTAAATAAATTTGCTGAGTGCTTGCGTTGTTTTCTTATGACAACAGCAGCCGCAACAAAAGTTTTTCCTAAAACTCCCAGGCATTTCTAGTGCAACATGCTACGGCTCCTTTAATGGCTTAGTAGGCCAGGCTCTTCAGAACATTAACATTCAGCAATTCAAGCTAAAAAATATCCTGAGCAACAAAAGACACGAAGGAAAAGAGTCATTTTTACCAATTAATGACCCTGGAAAACCTGAATGGAGTTTCATGAGACAAAGAAAAAGCATTTCTGTA